CTATTCTCCCTCACAACGCATCTCGCGCTGCAATCCTGCATGTTATAGCATCTGGAAGTGAAGATATTGCCAACTCCGAGGCGGTTATTTTGTAGTGCTGGTTAATACAAAAGAGACGAATGTCAACACAAGAAAACAAATATAGATTAGAGAAAAGATGTGAAAGGGCACGGGGGAGATAGAGGACAGACCTTTTGTATATGGGCTTGGTTTGCTCGTCCTTCCAATTCCTCCAAGTTGATTTCTGCTCCCTTGATAAGTTCCTTTATGGCTGTTACCTGTTCAAACAGTAGAAGCTTATGATTTCATTTAAGAAAGTAAACAGAATCTTTGAAAGTGAAGAAATGCACCAACTCAATATTGTTCACGATGTTGGACTGTGTGGGATCCTAATTACACTGTTCACTTGTACCCTCGACCGCAACTCTTTTTGTTTTATTTTTTAATCATAGGGTTATATTGGCATTCATATTGTATTAGGCTTGCCATAATTTCCCATCGTATGCAAAGAAACTTACGTATGGGGACACTTTTTTATTCTAGTAAAACCAGCAGCTATGAGTTCATGCAGGTCTCATATAGAGGGTGAACCTCTATAAATCTATGTTTGCTTTGCATTTTTCTAATTTTTGCTTGCTTATCATCTCTCCAGACTAGAGATTAGAATTTAATGCATAATAACACTGAAACTCTGGTCTCACCTCATCAGCCGAAGCGCCAAAACGAGCCACAAGGATGTAACTTGTGCTGTCAGATACACCGCATCTTTTCAAAGATTCCGATATCTGTAACAACAGCAGCAACATAATTGAAAAATTCAAATATTAAAACCATGATGAGCTAACGAAAATGCTTCTTACATGTTTAGAGCCTGAGTAGTTGTAAACAAGCTCAGAATGGAGAGTCCTTGTTGTTAGAGCCTCTCTTGATTTAGCTACAAGTGTCTTATGAGCAGCGGCAAGCACAGGGAAAACATCAGGTATCTGTTTTGATTGTCTCATGATGAATATCAGACCCAACAAAACAAAAGACGAAAAGCCCAAAAAATAAGAGGTAGTGAGAGGTGTTGGATTATAAGGTATGCAGAAGAATAGAGCTTACTAGTAAAGCATTGAGCAATGCAATTTCTGGTTCCAATGTTCCTGCTTGCATCAAATCCAGCAGTTCTCTGCATAAGAAAATATTAGGGCTACAAATTTCAGTAGAGATTTCGATATGATGGGGGTGTTGCTAAGGCTATCACAAGTAGCCAAAGTTACTGTTAACCATTACATTTGGCACAGAAACACGTTAGTCAGTTTATTTTCTAATCTTGTCAACATGAACTGTTCCTTTATCCCCTTAAAATCACCAATAAGATTCTTGAAAGAGAGAAGCCGAAGTTATCAAGAAACATGAGAACAACGTGAACATATATCAAATTAATAATATTGGTAAATAATAATAAATAAACTATCAAATTTATTCTGGTAAAAAGGGGAGGCCACTTTCATGAAAATTTCACAAAGGCTGTTTCTTTTACTGAAATAAATATGTCCTCAGCCTCAACAAATGCCTCTGTAAATTTGTTTCCTTTCCTTTCTCTCCTTTGAGGCCTCAACAATCGAGGACAATATTGCAGACAATAAGGTTAGAGAAAACAGGAATGGAACACAATGTCGAGTAATTGTAGCATGCATCACTAAAATGTTTGCACAAACAGCATAAGGAAACCGTAGTACGCAGACATTATGAAATCTGCTAGCTCCTCTGCAAAACCAGCACAATGGAATATACATGCAAGACTTATTCGATACAGTTTCTCGTGCATGCGGATGATATTCAATGCAAAGATCCAAAGTTGTATTTTAAATGGAAAGCACTATATTAACAACTTTCGTTTTTTGCAAACATTTTGTGATAGATGACTATGTGATCAATCCGCACAATTTACGACAGAAAAAGCATATCATCATCTATGATGCACCGACACGATACGTGTCAGATACGCCGACACACGATTTTTAAAAAAAGTACAGACACAACACGTTGTTTAAATTCTTAAAAATTCTTTATTT